TTTCCTTCAAAGCAGCTTGAACTTCCTTCATCACCATATATAAATATGTTCAGCCTAGTGGTAAGAAATTGTGCTGCTAACTCAAAGGCAGGTGGTTCAAATCCACCAACTGCTTTGTGGGAGAAAGATGAGCATTCTCCTCCCGTGTGATTTACTGCCTCTGAAAACACACTGGAGGGACAGTTATGGGTCAGTTCTGATTCGAAGGCACACAGCAACAATAAGCTAAGAGAAGAAAAAAGAGAGGGGGGGACAGCATGGTGTTGGTCCAAAGCGCCGAGGTGTTACCTGGGCCCCCAAAGCCACTGTCTGTGGCGGAGCTGTCCCAGGATGCCACGGCACTGTCCACACTGGGCACTGCAGATGAGAAGCGGGCAGGCAGCAGGCCCCCCTTGAGGGCCTCAGGCGGGTCCTCATCGCCGTCACTGGCCTCACTGAGGCTGCCTGACTTGCGTGGTGGGAGGGAACCTGCAGAAAAAGGGTCTGTCACTACCACGGGCCTCTGACCTCAGGGGACAATGTAGCACAGACAGCTAGCTAGTTCCCTCACTTCAGTCTGGTTTGGGACTCCCAGACACTAAGTCTCCATTTCTGGGTGATGCGATACATGCTCCTCATGTAGTCACCCAGAAAGGGTAGACTACTAAGATCTTTGAGCACAAATGGGGAAACTGAGGCTGGAGGAGGCTAAATCACACAGTCAGGTCACATGGTGAGCAACCATGAAGGCCAGGTTCGAAGCTCATGGTGGCCATGCTACCAAGGCATTAGGGACATAAAGAAAAGAAGGAATGCAGGGATTATGACCGTGACGCACATTAAGAGGCAGGAGGTACTGAGGAGCATGAGGCTGGAGCCTGAGGTTCACGCCCAGCCTCTACTCCACACCCTGTGTCTACCAGCGGCCTCCCACCTACACAGGGCTGTGTCTCTGGGAAGATGCACATGCAAAGCCCAGGGCAGAGGCAGGGCTTCCCCTTCCCAAATGGGCTAGGTGGTCCCCAGAGTGGAGTAAAGCTCACGGTCCAGCTGCTTCTTGATCTTCAGTGTGACGGTCTCCCCAGCCACCTGCAGGAGGTGGATGGCTTCGCTCAGAGGCCGGCCTTTGAGGCTAACACTGTTGATGGCTAGGATGCGGTCCCCCACGTGGATGGCGCCAGTCCTGGAGAGGAGTTGCAGGGTGGGAGTGGGGATTAGATACTCAGGGCCTTAGAGGGGCTCTGGAGATCCTGGAGATTTAAGCCTGGATAATTCTTGTTACATCCAGTATGATTCAGAATTACATTATAGAGATATAAAGTCTAGGATCTGGGAAATTATCCTGCCTGCCTCTAAATTTAGGTCATGGAACCAGTGTCTAGCATGAATTTAGAAAACGGCTTGGATTCCAGATCTTCCACATTAGCTATGTAACCTTAGGCCTAAGCTTCTCCACCTTCGTCTCAGTCCTTCATCTATAGAATGGGGATGATAACATTCATCAAATTGTAGTTGGGGAATCTGGGTATGAGTGCATACTTCAGCAGCAGCAGAAAGCCCTGGGTAGACTCCCCTCCCTGAGCCTCACTTTCCTCACCTGCAGAATGAAAATAATCTCCAGCCCCAATTGGCCCCACAGGGGAGTTGAGGAACAGCTGGTAAACCAAGCAGTGGCACTGCCTGGCTGAGCAGTGTCCGGCCTGCTGCTCAATGGAGTCACTGCCGAGCCTCCACCAAGACCAAACCAATAGTCTGTGGGTGAGGCTAAGAAGCCGTTCTGAGAAGCAACTACAGCAGGGGATAAGTGCACCCTTGTCGGAGAAAGGGGGCAGAGGACTGGGGTAGAAAGTTTTGAACCCTGAATGTGGAGACTGTCTGCAGATGAAGAGCTACTGCTGGGTTGAGCCCAGGTGTACCCTGGTGCCCTGCATGTCACCGAATGCTCGCTGGGGGCACGGGGAGGGAGGGGTCAGGGAGTGATCGGGAAGGGGAACGTGGAGCTGGGTGGGCTTCTGGGCCCTGATATGTGGACAGTCTAAACCGAGATGAGCTCTCATGTGACATGCGCTCTGTAATCTCAATTCCAGGAAAAAGAATATTTTTGTTAATATTTTTATATCAATCACATGTTGATGAAGTGAACTATGTATTTAAAATGAATGGGGTTTTTCCTTTTCTAATCCACCAGGTGCTCTAGGAGATAGATGGGCAATCAACTCCTGTGCAATTTACTGCACATGAAAACCTGCTGGCAGGTCAGCTATGAGTTGGTTCCAACTTGACTGTATTCAATAACAACAACGTGGCTGTTAGAAAAACGTTAATTAGAATTATGGTTCACATTATATTACATGTCTGTTGGGGAACCCTGAGTGAAGGTAAGGAGGCTGTCTGTGAGGGAACACCCAGCAATTCTTCAGCTGGTGAGGGTATCTGGGATCTGAATAGCCTTCTCTGGACCCTGAAGTTGGCCAGGCTTCCAGCAGGGGGCACACGAGGAACGGAGACACCAACAGGAGACTCTGGAATCCTGCCACTCCCGGCTGCTCCACTGGCCACACTGCCACCCCTCCTCTGTGTACCCCTCAGATCCTGACCAGACTCCTTCCCACCTAGACAGCCAGCTCCCCCACGTGTCACGTGTCTCTCAGTACCAGCAGCTCACAGCTTCCTTGTCGGCTCTGTCTCTGGGCCCTGCTCCTCTCACCTGTGTTGGAATCACCACCCTGTGACTTATTGGTGGGCCTTCCCACCCCTGGGACCCCAAACCCACCTCTCCCCCCACCTAGATAGTGCAAGATAGCTCCTGAGACACCCCTCTTCTCACAGCCCATGGCTGCCACAGTTTCAAACACACTTCTTAAAGGAGGGGCCCACGGGAAAGCCTTCCATCTCAGGAAGAGCTCCTTCTGCACTATGGGCGCACACAGTGGGTGTGTGGAAAATGCCAGCAATGCTGCCTTGAGATGCTAGGGAGACTCTGGGTGGGAAAGAGGGGTTAACAGACTTTTATCCAATCTATCGGAGCCAGGTGGTCTGTGAAGCGGGCCTCTGTCCTGGGATGCAGTGGCTAACACATTCACCTTCCAGAAAAGAAAACTGAGGCAAGGACAGGGGTGGTGACTGGTCCAGTGACACCCAGAACAAAGATCAGAATCAAGTTTGGGACACTTTGGTCCACTCCTGCATCCCCAAGAAGCCCAGGCCCACCTCTCAGCCAATCCACGCTTGGTGAGACCTGAGATGATGATGGGATCGAAAGGTTCCTCTGTGCCTGAGATGGTGATGCCCAGGGGTCCCCCGTAGCGCTTGAGCTCCACTGTGTAACTGATGGCACCCGTCGTCTCCTGCTCATCTGCAAGGGTAGGCACCCGTGAGTGGTGGTGATCAAGGAGAAGACAGGCCCCTCGCTGGCTTCTGCAGCCTCAACGCTCACTTATTCTCTCACACACATTCACCCTCACTCATGCTAATCTCAGAGAGTTCTAGGGACCCAAAGGCCATCTTCAGCCTTCAGAAATTGTTACTTCAACTCATTAAAATGGAAAAATAAGAGGGAAAGGAGGAAAACGGGAATGGGGAAATAATAACTCACTGGATTTAACATTCATTCTAAAACACAGAACACAAAATAAATAATGATGATGTAATGGAAATAGATTTCTAACTTCTCTTTAAAAAACAAGAGATCTACCAGTAGCCTAGCGGGCATGGAGTTGCCCTGCTAACCCAGTGACAATCAGTTTGAACCCAGCAGCTGCTCCATGAAAGAAAGACGGGCCACCTCCTCCCGTGTGATTTACCACCTCTGTCAACCTGCTGGAGGGTCTCGGCTTTGAGTCGGTTCTGACTTGACAGCATACAACAACTCACAGTGACTGCTTCCCAAGGCTGGCCTTGCCACTTTCTAGGGGATTCACTCTCTGCTTGCTGCCATCCTCACTCCTGCCTTCTGCCTCCTCAAGCTGTAAAATTTCCTTACCTTATACTCAGTTTGCCAGTTGACAGCATCTGCGTAGCCTCGGAAGTGTCTCAGTCTGCAGTCTTTGCTTATTCCTCACATATTCTTGGTTCAATAGGACACACCCTCATTCATTCACAGTCCCACCCACTCTCTGTTCACCCAGGGATGTCATCTGCCAGGCTTTGTGTAAGCGTGGAGGACATGGCAAGGTCCCAGACTATAATGCTGGGCCCTTTTCCAAGGGTCTCCACAGATAAGCCCTCAGATGTCACCTTTAGCCTCTCTTCCACAGCCAGAAGGACCCCACGAATTGCGGGCTGGAGTATGTGCAAGGACTGGGAGCAGTGCCGAGTGAAGGCCCTACCCGAGTTGTCCTCATCCTTGCGGACCTTCAGCTTCACCACGTCCTCACACTGCCGCAGGATCTGCACAGCATCCTCCATGGGGCAGTGGTCCAGGCGGATGTTGTCGATGGCTAGCAGCTTGTCACCAGGCTCAAGGGTGCCAGTCCTGCACAGGCATGGGTAGGGATGGGAAGAAGCCTGGCCCGCGGAGGCTCTGCGCCCACCCACTGCCTGGGCCGCCCTACCTGTGTGCCACACTGCCTTTCTTGATGTCCGAGATGGTCAAGGGTTCCCCGCGCTTCCTGCTGGCCGCTGGAGGAAAAGGGCATGAGGTCAGCCCTGGACCACCTAGGCCCACAGCCTGTGTGCACTCAGCCCTGATGCTTCCTGTCTAGGTGATCGGACTCTGACCTTTCTGTGCCTCAGTGTTTGTCTCCTCTTTTTTAAAAAAATGGGGATGATGCCACAGACCTCGTGCTGGGAAATGAAACTGGATACTGCAGGCACAAAACCTAGTGCCTACGTCATAGTTGTAGCTGTTGTTAGGTACAATCGAGTTGGAACCGACTCATAGCTGAACCTCCAGCAGGTTTTCCAAGAAAGTAAATCACACAGGAGGAGATTACCATTTTTCTTCCACAGAGTGAAAACTCATAGTTGGTGCTCAAAATACACTAGCTCTTTTTGTTTCCCACTGAGCCCATCCCCCAACAATGGAGTTCCTCAAGGGGTTGTGTCTTGCTCACGTCTGCTGCTCCAGTATCTCCTCGGCTCCCCTCATATGCATTCTCTGTGCTTATGGGTGCTGGGAACAGTGTCTACCTCAAAAACCAAACCACTCTGAACGAAAATGTGCCTCACCCTACCAGCCTCCAGGAGACCTGTTAAGGCTAGACACTCCCACTGTGCAAATTGGAAACTGAGGCTTCATGGTCTTGCTTAAAAGCAGAGAGCCAAGTGCCATAAAGCAGATGAGAAAGCAAGCCAGGTCCTCTCCCAAGGCTATGCTGCAGCCTCTACTCAGAAGTGCTGATTGAGCAGCAGCTGCTGTGACACTGTCCACGGCCTGGCATTGCCTACAACATAGCACTGTTCACGGTGTGGTGCTGTCCGCAGCATGGCACTATCCACAGCGTGGCATGCTCCTTCTCCCAGCAGGGGAGTTCCCAGACAGGTGAAGAGGCCTGGTCAGGCTAAAGGACTCACAGCTGATGGTGATGCCCAGCTCCACGCCACGTCTCTTGGGCAGCTTCACGTGGAAGGTGCCACTGCTTGGGATGACAGACTCTGGGTATAAACAAAAACTGATGATGAGGCCAAAGGAAGGGGGTCTTAGGTGTCCTGGCCCCCCAGGCCCATGAGGTCCCGCTGAGAGGGTCCCCAAACAAGTACCATCTCAACCCCTGGCAGATGAGGAAACAGGCATAGTGACAGACAGATGTGCCCAAGACAACAGTCAGGGTAGAGCGGGCTAGGGGGTAGGACCCAGACCTCACACTCCCAGCTGGGGCCCCAAGAGTCAAACTCGGTCCAGCCCAACTCAGCCAGGCAGGCTGAGCATGGCCAAGTGCCATACCTTAGCATGCGGCTCTCACTTCGACCCTAACCACACTCCTTCTATTTCACAAACAAAGAAGGATGTGATTGGTCCAAAATCACAGTATCTAAATCACAATCAGCTGATTTCTGATATGAGTTGTTTTGGATTCTTTGCCAAAGTCATGCTAATTAGGACCTTGGGGGATTTTCAGCACCCCACACCCCATCAGGCCCTGCCCCACTATAAAAACCCCTCATCAGTCAGGCAATAGACTGTGAAACTCTTTCCTCTTCAGCCAACCCTCTCCTTATACCACTGTTATTTGGCCATAAATGACAGTGTCCCAGGGAGAAGGACTACTAGGGAGTTAGGCGTGGGGTATGATGGAAGGGATCCTGAAGTGGAAGAGGGCTGCTAGGGTCCCCCACTCACCAGCCACATCAAATTCTATCTCCAGCACGACCCTGTGGGCCAAAGCAGCATCCCGAAGCAGCTGGTTGGCTTCCTCCATTGTCCCGTCCTCCGTGGCGATACCATTGATAGAGAGGACACGGTCCCCCACCTGCAGCAGCCCACACCTGAACCAGAGGCAGCCCCGCAAAGAAGCCAGCATCACGATCTCATGGGGACAGAGGATGGCTGTGCAGCTCAGGGCCGGGACTGGACCCGGGTCCCCACCATCGGGAGCACTTCCTCCCCAACTGGGTGTGCCTCTCAGTGCTGCCCTGAGCCAGCTACTGCGTGGTCAAGCAAAGGCTGGACCTTGCTGGGCCCCAGTTTCGTGTCTATCCAACGGGGACCAGGCCATGGCCTTTTAAGACGTATACACAGAGTAGTTATAACAGCCCACAGACTCTGTCAAACAAATAGGGATTCAAGTCCTGGGGCGTTCACTCACAAGCTGAGTGATACTGGACAAGTTAGACAGCCGCTCTGAGCTCCCGTTTGTTCATCTATGAAATGTAGCCAGTGATGGCTGATGTGATGGTTACATGTGATTATGAGTGAGGGTGAAGCCGTGGCAGTGTGACTCCCTTTCTCCAGCTGTCTGTGAGCCCCTGGGTTCGAAGGCTAACAGGTGCAGGGACAGGCGGCAGGCTCACCTCTCTGCTGGGCTGTCAGGCTCGATGAATCTCACGAGGGGTGGGGAGGACAGGGTCTCCGTGGCAAAGATGCCACCCTGGAGCTGGAGGCCAAAGCCACTGAGGGGATCTCCGCACAGCACAACTTCCGTGGTCTCTGTGTGCACGATCTGCCCACCTGGTCCCACTGTGCTGGAGGCCAGCGACACTGCGGGACACACAGGCATGGTCACTCGGCGGCTCACTCCTGCAGGCCTTCCTGCCTATCCACACCCAGCCTGGCACTTCGAGTGGGACCCCCAGCAGGCCTCGCCTGACCTTGGATTCCTGCAATGAGGTTGTCTTCCCACCTGACAGGGTTATCGCAAAGACTAAGGAAGACTGTGTGTGGACTGTCCTATTAAGAGACAAGGGACTATGAACGACACATTTTCACGTGACTTGGTACACTTACTGATGAAACTCAAAGACCATCTAGCCTTTGGTGCTTCATATAGGCAAGGATGGTGAAACTTTGTCACACAAACTTTGGGCATGAAAAGGACATCATGCTTGGAAAGATGGAGGGTTAGCAAAAGAGATGAAAACCTTCAACAAGACAGATGAGCTCTGTAACAATGAGCTCAAGTACATCAGAGATGGTGAGGACAATACAGGCTAGGGCAAGGTTAGATCCACTGGTCACAGGGTCTCTGTGAGTCACAGCTGACTCAATGGCATCTCATAATAAACAACATATATTGTTGTTGTATGCTGTCGAGTCGGCACTGACTCACAGCTGACCTATGGTGTGTTTTCAGAGGTTATAAATTACACTGCCCATCTTTCTCTCATGGAGCTTCTAGTGGATTCAAATCATCTGCCTTTAGTTTGGCAGCAAAACTCCTTACCACTAGACCACCAGAGCTCCTATTCAGTAGCTGAATGCAAATCATTTGCATCACTTAAAGATCTTGGCATACTGTATATATTTATATGTCTGTATATACACATACATTATATGCATATGTTGTTGTTTGTCACTGAGTCAGAACCGACCCATAGCTGATCCTCTGGCAGGTTTTCAGAGGCAGTCAATTGCATGGGAGGAAAATGCTCATTCTTCTCCCACACAGCAGCAGGTGGATTTGAACCACACGCCTTTGGGATTCAGCACAGCTTCCTGCCACTGGGCCACCAGCACTCCTTCATATATGTATATATACACACACATACATTATATGTATAAACATCATGTCATTCACAACATTACTGTAGTTATTAAATATTCTTATATACTAAATGAACCTTTGGTGGCACAGTGGTTAAGGGCTTGGTTGCTAACAGAAGAGTCAGTCACTCCAGGGGAGGAAGAGAAGGCAGTCCACCTCCACAAAGATTTGCAGCCTTGGAAACCCCAGGGGACAGCTCTGCCCTGTTCTACGAGGTTCACATGTGTCAGGAATGACTGGACAGATATGTGCTGTGGGTATTTCCCCCTTTTTTGTCATTATATATTAAAAAAATTAAATATAAATGAAATAAAATTCACTGCTACATTTCATTCTAATGCTTATTATATACTGTTGGATGTTTACATATTTTAGAACATATTATATTGTTGTTGTGTGCTGTCAAGTCATAACTGAGCCATAGCTGACCTTTCAGTGAGTTTTCAGAGGTAGTAAATGCATAAGAGGAGACTGTCTATCTTTCTTCAGCAATACTATTACATATGTATGTTGTTATTATTGTTGATTGAGTTGAGCATGACTCATATCAACCCTATGAACAAAACGCCTGAAGCCCCTCTACAACTATCAACATTTATCAAAGTTCATAGAGTTTTCAGAGACATGTTATTTAGGAAGTGGATGCCACTCCTGCTTCCAAATAATATATTTATCTCCATCATAATATGTGTTATCTTATTATGAGTATTATTTTATATATTTTTCCTTAGATTCCCAGTAATAACAGTGATAACTAATGTATAATAACCAAATCCACTGCTTCACCTCACATACTTTGGGCATGTTGATAGGAGGGGCTATTCCTTGGAAAGGACCTGGTGCTGGGAAGGGTGAAGGGTCAGTGAAGGAGAGGAAGACCCTCATCTAGGTGGACTGACATGGTGACTGCTGCAATGGGCTCTTGTGTGTCAGGAAGTGTGAGGGTGGCACAGGACAGAACAGGGTTCAGATCTTTTGTTCACAGGTTTGCTATGGGTCATACTTGGCTCGATGGCACCTAACAACAATAACTAACACTGCCATCGGGCCAGCTCTGATTCATGGCGACTCGCCACCACATTTTCGAGGCTGTATGTCTTTATGATAGAAGCCTTACTGCCTTGGAGCTCCTGGCAGAGTCAATATGCTCCACACCACACCACAGGGCTCCAAGGTTTGCAGAGGATGCCAATCTCTTGCCTTGTGACCAGTACAGGTGTCTGAACAAAAGGCCATTTGGAATTCAGCCACATTAGAGAAGAGAGGAATATAGGTCATTTGAAAGGAGATAAGTATGATTCTAAGCCTCCTGGAAGCCAAAGTGAAAAGAAAAACAGATTTCAGAATCAGATGAGAGATAAAATACACTTTTGTCAGTGACAGATGGCAGGGGGTGGGGACACTTGTTGTTGTTATGTGCCATTGAGTCACTTGTGACTCATAGCGACCCTATGTACAAAAGCCCTGCTCTATCCTGTGCCAATCCCACTGTCTCCAATACCCGACCCCGATTACCCCAGTCATTGAGTCAATCCACCTCATAGAGGGTCTTCCCCTCCTGTACCGTCCCTCTACCCTCCCAAGTATGATGTTCCTCTCCAAGGACCAGACCCTCCTTACAACATGTCCAAAGTATGTCAGACGAAGCCCCAGAATCCTTGCCTCCAAGGAGCAGCCCGGTTTAACCCTCTCCAGGATGAATCTGTTTTCTTAGCAGTACCTGGTACCCTCAATACTCTTCTCCAGCGCCACACTTAGCAGGGTAGAAAACGGCCGTTCTGGGAAATAGGGAGGCCAGGGCCACTGGGTTTCCTTATTCCTCCCCTTCTTAGGATGGGTAACTAATAAAGGGCTATCGTTAAACCCCAAACTCATTGTCAGTGAATCAATTCCAATCCGTAAAGGCTCTGCAGGACAGTGTAGAAGGGTCCAGACGGCTTCCAAGGCTGTCACTCTTAACTGTCTCATCTTTCTTTCACAGAGTGACTGGTGGGTTCAAACTGCCGACTTTCCAGCTAGCAGCCAAATACTGTGACCACTACAGCATCAGGGTTCCTCATCATTTAGTTTAAAACATTTTTCTGTGGCTGTTGTTGGGTGCCTTTGGGTCACAAATGATTCATGGCGGCCCTGTGAACAACAGATCTGAACCCTGTCCTATCCTGTGCTGTCTGCACAATCTCTCATACACTTGAGCCCATTGCTGCAGTCACTGCGTCACTCCTAAAAAGATGGCCTGTGAACAACAGATCTGAACCCTGTCCTATCCTGTGCTGTCTGCACAATCTCTCATACTCTTGAGCCCATTGCTGCAGTCACTGCGTCACTCCTAAAAAGATGGCATAGTTTGGTGTGCTTTTTGTCTGAGAAGAAATTAACTAAAATATCAAAAAAGGTGGTAAAGACACAGCAAGAACCCGCTGAGACTTTGACCAGATCAAGGAAGAATGAAAAGATAATGAAGTGGAAACACCAGGCAAAATTCATGCAAATGTGAAAAGACATCCAATCTCTAACTCAAGACACTCTTTCCACAATGGGCTGGGAATTTTTTATTTAACACAAGAATCATAAGACTAGACATGTAGAGTCAGTAGTACCACTAAGTGGCCCAATTGTGTCATTAATGTCATTTAACGACCCCTCCCAGAGCCCTGTCCCAAATCCTCCTTGCCTTTACGTACAGCCAAAGAAGGAGAGAGAGACCCAGGGCTTACGTGAACTTTTGTGTTCCCGTCTTCGCTGCCTCCTCCTTCCCATTGTGGTCCGGGGGCTCATGGGCTGGGCTCCGTGGGGAAGAGTGCAGGAGAAAGCGTGGTTCATGGTTGGTGAGGAGAAGGGAGTGGAGGACAGGGCTGGGGAGATGAGGAGACAGCCCTGTGAACCCCACTGCGTAGTGAGTGTCAGGAAGTCACCCCAGCCCAGGGAAAATTAGGGATGCCTTCAGATCAACTACTTGATGTATGACCCCAGGGAAGTTTCTTTGCTCTCCCCTACCCCTGGGCCTAAATGACCTGATAAAACCCAGGTATCAGGGGCAGGGGCCCATCTTAGCAGCTCTACAGAGCAGGCACAAGCCCTCGTGGAGGAAAGGTGGGAATAGGTGAACAGCAGTACTTACATCTGCTCTGGTCCTGGCTGGCTGACGTGGTCCAGCTAGGCGTCCTGCAGTGGCTGGGAGGCCGGGGGCTGTGGCAGGAGGGCATGCAGGGGTCCCAGCGATGTGGCTGTTCACTCCTTTGCATTTTCACTGTGACCGGTAGTGAGAAGAAAGGGAGATAAGGCGTTAGGTTGAGCAGCCCTAGGATGCCCCACGTGCACCATGAGGAAGTCACGGGGGTCAGCAGAGACAAGTTTCCCCAATTAGGAAAGGCACGGACATTCTGCTCACGTGTCCTGGTCACCCTGTGGGTGCTGAGCGCCAGCTCTTGCATCCTTTGTCACAGGCCAGTGGGCGTCATGGGGAGAACCAGCTGTGGCCCGTGGTGGAAATTTATTTGAACCCACATAGCCTCCCTCTGGTCAGCTATGAGGAGTGGTACAGTGGGCCGGTTGCCTCCAGATGCGGTGCCTTCAGGTCCAGCCCCATCCAGTGACAGCATGGTGGTGGTGGGGACATGAGGCCTGTCTCTCCCCTACCTGATCCTCCCAACTGGCCTTCACATCACATCTTCTTCCCAATGGCCGGGTCCATGTCCTGGCTTGGGGTTTCTCACCTGGTCCAATGCTTCTTGAGTGAATGAGTGAGGACTCAAATGTCTCAGCCCATTGGAACCTCCTGCTTAAAAACTTCCTGGGCTGGACAGCTCACTGCTGTTATGAGTACCCCTCACATCCCTCCCTCTAAGCAGCACCCCACCCTCACTCCTGGGGTGCAGCAGACCCTGGAGCCAGCTGCCTGAATCACACCCAACACTGATCAGCTGTTGGATTTAGACAAGTCACTTAGCCTTTCTATGCCTCACTGTCATTATCTGCAAAATGAGAATGAAATTGTCTTCTTGTTATGTACTCTGAGTAAGAACCGACCCACAGTCTCCAGGGGGTTTTCAGAGGAAGACTGCCCATCCTTCTCATGCAGAGCAACTGGTGGATTTGGATTACATGCTTTTAGGATTGCAGCGCAGTTTCTTACCTTTCAGCCATCAAAGCTCAGAAGAAAATGCATTAGTAGCTGACTTAATTTCAGGGTTATGAGAAGGATTAAAATGAGTCAATGTGTATATTAAAATGATAAAGTGATTGTACAAGGTCGAGCTCTTAGCATATAGATGCTGGACAAGTGACAGCCATGGAGGTGAGGGCCATCTACATAGTCTTCTAAAGTGCTATACCTCCAAGTCTCGGTTTCACCATCTGTAAAGTGGCCAACAGTACTACTGACCCCACACTGTTGTTGTTAGGGGCCGTCAAGTTGCTTCCAGCTAACAATGATCCCATACACAATGATGTGCCTCAGTCTCAGCTGTGTTCACACCCATGGATGCAGTCACAGGGTCAGTCCATCTTGTTGAGGGTATCCTTAGTTTCTAAGCTGACCCTCTGACTTTTCCCAGCATGATGTCCTTCTCCAGGGACTGGTCCTTCTTGATAACATGTCCAAAGCATGTGAGGTGAATTCTCAACATCTTTGCCTCCCTCATTCTCCACCACTGCAAGAGATGATGGTAGCTGGCCTGCGTGACTGGCCACTGGTTTGGATCCTGAGCTTCGCCGGCCTTATACTCCTCCTCCCCATTGAAACTGAGGCCCAAGCTCTGGGATTCCCCCAGAAGACTCACCAGCTTCCGAGGGCTTCAGGGGGCGCCGGCCTTGGGGTGCAGGCAGGATCTCCAGCTTCACTTTCTCCGAGACATTGGCCAGGAGCTTGGTGGCCTCGAGCAGTGAGCAATGTTCCGTGCTGGTGCCGTCAATGGACAGGATGTGGTCTCCGGCATGCAGTGCCCCGCTCCTGGCCGGACAGGGAGCAGAGGGGGAGGCCGGGCCAGGATGGACAGCGTTCCGGGTCACCTCTTGAGCAGCCTCACACCCCCAGGGAGGCATGCCGCATGCGCCTCACCTGTCCACCACACTGGCCGGCTTGATGCGGTCAATGGTGATGACCGGTTTGTTGCGGTGGGAGCGTGTGGTAAGCGAGATGCCCAGCGCAGAGCCTGGCATCTTGGTGATTTCCACCATCAAGGGCCCTGCTGCCGCACTGGCCACCGTGTCTGGCTCCGTGGGAGAAGAGAAGAGGCTGAGATGTACTTCCCAGACTCACTCTTCCATCTCCACTTAACCCTCACTGACTAGGGACGTTCATTACGCCCACTGAATAGATGAGAAGACTGAGTGCACCATCACCTGACCAGCAGCAGGAGCTGAAGGGCTGGGAGACTCTGATTTCTGGACAGTGCTTGTGAGCATATATTCACTGCCTGGTATACAGCAGGCACAAAACTAGCCTTCTCTACCACCCTCCTGTCTCAGAAAATGCTACCATTAACTCAGCCAGGTCCTCAGCCTTAAAACACCAGCAGCATCCTTCGCCTTTCCTCTCTCATCCTACCATGTCCTAGCTGCAGTTGGTCGGGCTAGTCCAGCCTCTGCAATGCTTCCCACATCCAATCTCTCCTCCCAATTCCTCAGCATACAGCCTGCGTTGGCTGCCAGCAGCTTCCCCTGGGATGGCTGTGGGAACCTCCTGGCTTCCACCTTCTCCCTCCTTCATTCTGTCCTCCTGCTGTCTAGATCATGGGAAGTCAAAGTCTGCGCCCTTGTGGGGACCAAGAAGGCCTAAGAAGGTCCAGCCCAGTGACTGTTGTTATTTATCAGTTCTAGCCTTAACAGCCTCCTCGCTGCTCCGCAAGCGTGCCAGCCAGGCTTCTCCTTCAGGGCCTCCGTACTGCTGGCCCCTCCCCATGAAATGCTCTTCCTGCAGATGTCCACATAGCTGATGCCCTGATTCCCCTAACTCACAAACAGCGTCATCCAGCCCTTCTCATCTCTCAGCCTGCCAGGCTCTTTTACTGATTTTGTTCTCTATCTACCTTTCCCAGCAGAATGTCAGCTCCCAGAGACTAGATATCTCATCTGTATTGCTCAAGGCTGGACCCTAGTGCATCCAACAACGCCTGGCACGTACAATTGACTTCTCCGCTCAGAGAGGTGCCCGAGGCCACTCAAGCTTTGCAGAAGTGAGAGTCTGCACTCACTCCTACCCCAGCCCTCACCTTGGGCCTACTCACCGGGGATGGCCACGTCGTACTCCACCTGGAACAGGGCCTCATGGCTGCACTGCCGCAAGGTGGCCAGGGCAGCCGCATGGCTGGCCCCGTGCAGAGGAACACCATCGATGCTGAGCAGCCGGTCACCTGCCTTCAAGGATCCTTCCCTGTGAGGAAGGACCAGGCACGCTCAGAGGCACGGGGCACAGAGGACGAGCACAGAGTGGGAGAATGGGAGTGCATGAATGAGAGAGTTGAAGTGAGAAGTCCTAGTTGGGCTGTCTTGACACCAACCTGATGGGTTTCTAGTCCAGGTACAGACTAGGCTCCCAGCCAGCCCTCACACGTTTGAGCTGGGAATAAACTTCAAGTTGCTCATAGCCTTCCGTAGCTGGGGAAAGCGGATGGCCAGGGCCCACAGAGGCCCCAAACCCAGGGATAGTCAGTGAGTGACACTGCCTTGGTGACAAACCTATCTGAGAGAGAATTCAGCAGGAGTCCCTGGGGAGGGCCCCCGCTGGGGTTCACCTTGGTTTGGGTTACATCCCCACCCAGAACGCTGGCCCTGACAGGTGGCCAAAACTAATCTGGGAGGTTCTATGAATAGCTCACACAGGGCCCCGTCCCAAGGACAGATTTAGATTCCCAACAAGACCGTTCTTGGCTTCTCTTAAAATGGCCAGGAATCTCTTGCCTGAGAGATGAGGACACAAGGCTGGGAGCTGGCTGTGTTCTTGCCCACACTCTCTCCTGATCGCTCTAGCTGGGCTCTAGGCAGGGCAAGGCTGGGCACCGCAGCCAGAACCCGGGAGGCTGGGTTACAGATGACCACAGCAATGGCAGATAATCGCCTCAATGTTCCTCATTAGACCCAGTTCAAATTCAGGGAAAACTAAGGTACTAAGGACAGAAGAGCAATGCAGAGTCCCTCCCCATCATTCCCCTGTGAGAGCAGGATGTGAGGAAGAAAGAGCTTGGCAGCCCTCTCATTTGGAACAAGTCCTGGATCCACCATTCCCTGAATGACTTTGGGCAAAGGTGGCCCCTCTCTGGGCTAAAGTCATTCATCTGGGAAATGGGCACCATGGTCCCTACTCTGCCTTCTTCATAGGAAGACCCCAGTGCAATGTGACCCAGTGCTCACCTGTCAGCCGGGCCACCAGGCCTCACATAGGTCAGGACGAGTGGGCGGGACTTGTGTCCTTCTTCATGGGCACCTCCTGGATGGAATTCAACAAGGGGGAATGACAAAGTCCATGGAGCCCAATCCTTTCCCTGATACATGGAGGCCCTGAACCAGCCCCCAAGTGTGCTCTCATAAGACATATTGGAACGTAAACTGTACTGAAAAGCTAAGGCACATACTCAGATTTCTCTAGACTGAATGGCTCACTTTCTTTCCTATCATTTCACCCTTATCCTTTGTCCTGGGGTGCTGGAGAAAAGTATTGAATATACCATGGACTGCTAGGAGAACAAACAAGTTCACCCTACAGAGGTTGAGACCAGGGTGCTCCTTGGAGGCAAGGATTCTGAAGCTTCGTGTGACATACTTTGGACATGCTGCAAGGTGTGATCAGTCCTTGGAGAGGGATGTCATGCTTGGGAGGGTAGAGGGATGGTGCAGGAGAGGAAGACCCTCGATGAGATGGATCAATTCAGTGACTGGGGTAATGTGGGTAGGCGTGTCAGAGACAGTGAGATTGGCACAGGTTAGAATAGCATTTAGGGCTGTTGAACACAGAGTCACCACAAGTTGTAGGTGACTTGCTGGCACAACAACCCTTTGTTCTGGCTGGTAGGCAGCTTAGAATGTGATTCTCCACCCCTTAGTCATCAATTTCACCACTGTTTCCGTCACAACTGTCTGCCCCTCATTCTCCCCCTAATTTCAATATCCTTCATCACTTAGCAAATATTTCAATCAACGTTTGACTTAACATTGCAGGTCCTCTAAAGTTAGAAGTGAGAGTAAAACCCAAGAACACAGATGGAGTTAGTATTAGCCCCCTTTCCTGTCCCCTGAGCCTGAGGCGGACTTTTCCACTGACCTCTGAGGACAAAGCCGAAGCTATTGCCCTCCTTGTAGAGGGAGATGTCCACTGTCTTTGAAATGATCCCTGGGTTGTTCTCAGAGGCTGGAGAGAAATGGAGAAGGGCCCCTTGAGTCCCACTGTCACTCATCCAAGCCAGCAGATGTCCCAAAAGCTCGTTCCACGAAGGCTGAGTGGCCAGTCCCAGAGATTGCACAAAAGGTGAACGTATTCATTTTACAACTGCTCTGAGAGAGACCTTCTCCCCTACGCATGCGATCCTCGACTTAGAGAGAGACCAACGGCAGAACTCGGGCTCGGTCTACGGCCAGCTCTGATTCAGCCCAAATCTAGACAAGCTATTTAGATGTCCTCATTTGGATCAACTTTGAAAAGTCAAAGCGAGGCCGCAGTCCTCAGTGCAGGGAGGTGGGGTGGGAAGAGGCAGGGGACAGTTCCCGGAACCAATGTGCCTTCCTGTAGGAGAACACCCCTCCTCTGCCAAAGGAAAGACAGTGACCCAAACCCCGCTGTGGTCCAGGGGATTCCAACTCATGGTGACCTGTAGTGACCACAGTGACTCTGAGGCCGTAATTCTTTATGGGAGGACTGCCCATCTTTCTCTTGTGGAGCAGCTGGTGGATTCCAACTGCCAACCCCTTGGTGAGCTGCCCAATGCCTAATGCATTATAAACCACCAGAGCTTGCTTGTAACAACAGCAGTGGGTTATAAAAAGGGGGGCCCACCACCGTCTGGTGACAGCACGCCCCAGGCGCAGGCAAACCTCCCGAGAAGCATGGACGGTCGTGGGCGGCCAGCCTTCTGGTCCCACCCACCCCGTATGGCATGACCCCCATCACCTAGGCCTTAGCAGGGAGGCAGCAGTGTCCACCCATAGCTGAGGCAGTGGAGAGAGTATCCCGTCCAAGGGCACCCACCAGGCGGGGGCAGCTCATACTCCACCTCCAGCACCACGCGCTCGCCCACGTTCTTGAGCAGGGTGATGATCTCATCGTGGCGGAGCCTGGTCAGGTGGATCCCGTTCACTGACCGAATATAGTCGCCGACGTTCAGCAGGTCACTCCTGGGAGCGGGAACAGCAGAGCACGAACAGTAATGGGCAGCTCACTGAACGCCACGTGCCCACAGAATGCCGGCACCCACCTCACTGCCTGAACTAATTCTGAGGACGTTTTGGGTCCCCATTTCACAGACGGGGAGGCTGAGGTTCAGGGAGAATCCTAACCTAGACCTGTCTGCCGTCAGGCCTGCCATTCTTTGGAAGCTAGTCTGTCTGCAGGTCTTGGTACTGTGGTATTGGATGCTCCCACACCCCAGGCAAGGCAAATCTTCCCTCCTCCAAGTTTCCTAGTACTCCTCCTGGCTTTTTGCCACAAATCTTCCATCCTGTTCAACTGGACATTTATCAGGCCTTGCGCATGGTGCCCACAGAGGAAGCAATGAAGAGGTTAACACCAAGAACCCCAAGAAGCCCCTAGTCTGAGGAGACAGGAGAGGACTCCAGGCCATGTGTTACAGAAGTTGACACAGGCTTTCTGAGCAGGGCAGGGTAGAGCAGAGTAGAGCTGCTGCCTGGGGCTCCTGAGAGGTGCTGAATTTGGAGGGAGGAAGAAGAGGGTGGACGCTATAGAGAACAGGCATCTCAGCCAGAAGATACATGAGGGAAAGAAGCAGCTGAGGATTTGAGTCCTAACCTCTGCTTTCAGCATCTCCTGCCTGGATTCCTTGAGTGTCTCCTGAAAATAGGCCTCTAGCCATTTGCCTAAGGTTTCTACCTGCCTGAGCACCCCCATACCTGGCTTCTCATCCCTCCCTGCTGCACCCCCAGTCCCCTTCTCACCTGGCAGCGAGCCCCCCAGGTCTCAGGTTGGAGACTCTGGGCTTCCCATCCTTGTCGGTACCCCCCGAGATGGTCAGGCCCAGCGTGCTGCCCTCCTTTTTGATCAGCTCCACCACGATGACCCCTCGGAACTCCTCTGCCGAGTGATACGGGGTTCAGTGTGTTGAGAGCATCTGCGCTCACAAAGCACTTGACTGCAATATACCAGGGGATGGCACCTCCTTTCACAGAGGAGGTTCAGAGGTGAAGGGGCTTTTACAAGGTCAAAGAGAGCTGGTGGTACAAGTCACACTGGCTGGCCACTCAAGGCTCTCTGTCTTCTGGGGCAGGGAAAGGGACAGATGGGCCGGGGCAGGCTCCCTACCTGGGATGCTCTGTCTGCGGCACACCAGGGCCATGTCAGCCCCTCCTGCATCTTTGCCTCCTTTGGCATAAGGTCCATCATCTGCAGAAGAGAAAGAGAAAAGAGTTCCTCAGCGCAGTTTCTGTTTTCACCTGAGAAATCCCCTCCTGCTTAGGGAATCTCTAGTGAGCGTGAGCATGGCTTGTCCCAAAGGGGCTCCTTCCTGCCCCGGCTCTACCCAAATTTCTGCTGGAAGATTCCCAGGGCTTTGGCACAGTCCATAGGGAATTGAGCTCCTAAACCAAAGGCAGTGCCTATCTGGTGGCTTGAATCCATCAGTGGCTTCTCTGGTGGGATTTACGGCCTCCCCAAAGACCACTGAAGACTCAGCTGAGTCGGTTCAGAGACTCAAGGGTAACGAGCTGAATTCTCCTAGGAGGGTTCAAACTCTTTCTTGGGCCAAATAACATTCTTTCAATCACCTACTATGAGCTGGGAGCAACACAATCACTCTCTAGTGAATCATTTGACACTCTCAGGGATGATAGTCTGAAAAGACAGGCCCTTCGAAAGCCCTAGGAATAACAGGATTGTTCTTAGATGCAGTCTGGAAGTGGAGCCCCTAAGTTTGGGAAACACTTAAAAAACAGAGAGAAACAGCTGCAAACATTCATTAGTAAGTCAACATAGCTTGTATGAATCTAGGAAAATTGGAAGTAGTTAACAGTGAAATGATATGTGTAGAGACCGACATCCCAGGCATTAGTGACCTGAGATGGACTTGTATTGGCCACTCTGAACCAATCATATGATCTCTTATTATACTGGGAACGACAAATTGAGGAAGAATAGTGTTGTATTCAGTCAAAATGACTATTTCAGCATTTCTCCTGAAGTGCAGTGCTGTGAGTGATAGGATACTTGGCTTTCTATATCTCTAACCGAGAAGAAGTCAGTTCTCAGTCACTCTGTTACATCAGGACTGGGCTCCTGTGTTCCCCAGGAGCTGGTAAATGAAAAATCAAACAGCAGTTAAGCGTGGAATCATTGCCAGGACCCCTGGAGTTAGGCCCCCGAAACTCTCCTTGCCTCCCCCGCCCCAGCGCCCATGTTTATTTCAGCCATCATCATTTCAGGCAACACCCCATTAAGTCTAATGCCTCGCAGTATGGTCCCCAATATGCTCTTCATTTAGATTCAACAAGCTGTTTCTGAGCTGTTAAAATTAAAAAGACTAGGTTCTACCAACTATGTGACAATGAACATGTCTGGTATTTCATGTGGGTAATAGTCCTGGTGTACAAGTTGCCGTACAGCGGTCACTTGTGGTTGCTGTGAGGCTGAACACTGTGACACTGATGTGTCAAATGCGTTAATAGCTGGTTACCCAATGTGGACAGAGAGTGGGGTGGAGCTCCCCGATTAAAACAAGCTTGGAAGGAGGAGTGGCATCCACTTCTGTAATAGCTTGCTTCTGGAAACCCTAGGAATCTGGAGAGAGGATGAGAGAGACCCAAGCGTTGAGGACTCTCCTTCATAGGGTCGCTATGAGTCACCTGCGACTCGACGACACTTAACAACAACAAAAACAACAACAACATGCAAGAGGCAAAAAAACAACAGAAGACTAATATCTCCTTATTAATAATTTTAAAGAGAGAAGTGTCCCTTTAAACTACAAAGACAACTGAAAGAGACCTTGGTATCAGGCCTTTTAGTGAAGGTGGACGATTTTGAGAAAGATCTCCTCATTAAGCTATAATCATTTGTTGAGGTTTGTCTCCCCCCCTTAAAATCTCCAGAAAGGGAGAGCCACTTCCTTTCCCTTAACAAGACTTTCTGACCTGGTATCAAAGATAACCTATTCAATGAACAGGAAGACAAACTTTTCATGTTTTTAAACTTTTAACGGAATTACTGCTAGGTTTGCTCTGAATTACTACAGACTTTGCCAGTGCAATACATCTCCTGATCTCCTGACTGCTGCTACCAAGTGTATTGTTTCTGGATCCAAGTAAGAGAGCCAGAGACCTCTTCAGATTACTCAGTAGCAATGAGGTCAGTTTGAGGACTAAGATGCGCCTGATTCAGATCTTTTCAGTCACTCACTATACATCTGAGAGTTGAACAGTGAATAAAGATGACAGAAGAAGTGATGCCTTTGAATTGTGGTGTTGGGGAAGAGTACTAAATATCCCATGCACTACCGAAAGAACAAGTAGATATATCTGAAAGAAGGTACAGCCAGAGTGCTCCTTGGACGCGAAGATGATGAAGCTTTGTCTCTCACACTTTGGGCATGTTGCTAGGAGGGGCTATTCCTTGGAGAGGAAGATCCTGTTTGTGAAGGTTGAGGGTGAGTAAGGAGAGGAAGACCTTCAATCAGGTGAATGGACACAGTGACTGTAATGGGCTCAAGTGTGTCAGAGATTAAGAGGCTGACACAGGATAGGACAGGGTTCAGATCTGTTGTTCATAGGGTTGCTATGAGTCACACTCGACTCATACTTGACACACTCGATGGCACCTAACAATAACACAATAATAATTGCTCTGAATGACAGACTCCCTTATTTTCCTGTTTCATTTCCTCTTTACTGAATCAGACTGATTTTTCCTCTGAAACCATTAAGACCAAAAGGCCAGAACACAGCAAATGCAGGCATCACAAGGCCCAGAACACATCCTACAGAGTAGTCTGGGCACCGTTATGTGTTTCTTCTTTGTTGTTGCTGTTATTATGTGCCCTTGATTCGACGACAACTCATAGTATCTCAATGCACAATAGCTGAACTATGCTCTATCCTGAGCCAATCTCAATGTCTCTGATACACCTACCCTCATTACCCCAGTTATTATATCATTCCATCTCATCTGGGGTCTTTCTCTCCTGCATTATCCCTCCACCCTTCCAAGCATGCTATCCTCCAAAGACTGGTCCTTCCAGGCTACATCCCCAAAGTATGTGAGATAGAGTTTAAAAAAATTCTTGCTTCCAAGGAGGAGCTTGATTTCACCCTCTCCAGGACAAACCTGTAGTTCTCTTGGAAGTCCATGGTATGTTCAATGCTCTTTTCCAGCACCACAACTCAAAGGCATCAATTCTTCTTCTGTCATCCTTGATCACCATCCAGCTTTATAATGCGTAGCAAGTAATTGCAAAGACCATAGCCTGGATCAGGCATGCCTTAGTCTCTAGACTGGCATCCTTGCTCTTCAGCACTCTAGAGAGGTCCCTGACAATAGATTTCCCTAATGCAATTTGTCTTTTGATATCCTGACTGCTAGGGACAATAGTGTTGACTGTGGACCTGAGCAAGCTGAATTTGTTAACAACCTCAATCTCTTCTCCATCTATCACGATGCTGCCAACTGACCCAGTTGTGAGAATCATTATTTTTGTTGATGTTGAGTTTCAGTTTATATTGAAGGCTTCAGTCCTTGACTCTCTGCAGCAAGTACCTCAGGTCCTCCTCAGTTTCAGCAAGTAAGGTTGTGTCATCTCCGTAACACAGGTTGTTGATGAGTCTCCCTCTAATCTTTATTTTATATACTAGTTTATTTACAAAATTTGAATACATTGTTTTCTAGAACAGAATCTTCCAACTTTTCTCACCACCCAACCCATAAAATTGTACAACTCCATGATTAATCTCCTCCTCCCCCTGCACATCCTCATCCCTCTGCTTCCACCCTCCCCCACTCCTTTTAGATACTTATAATCATTCTACAATAATGGTTTTATACCTGTTCTTGTGGGACTGAGTTAGCTCACTCAGCATAATGCTCTTCAGTCCCTCTCAAGTTAGGTAGTAATTTATAAAATCATTGCTCCTGCATGCTGCGTAGTATTCCATTCTGGAATGTACCATAATTTCTACAACCATTTGTTTGTGATTGGACATCTGGACTGTTTCCATGTTCCTGAGATGGTGAGTAATACTGCTATGAACACTGGTGTACAAGTCTCCATTTGTGCATCAGTTCTCATTTTCTCAGGGTATATTCCAAGTGCTGGAGAAGAGTGTTGAATATACCATGGACTGCTAGGAGAACAAGCAAGTTCATCCTGGAGAGGAAGAAACCAGGCTGCTTCTTGGAGGCAAGGATTCTGAAGCTTTATCTGACATACTTTGGACATGTTGCAAGGCGGGATCAGTTATGCTTGGGAGGGTGGAGGGACAGCACAAGAGAGGAAGACCTTCGATGAGATGGATTGATTCAGTGACTGGACTATGTGACAACTAGAGTGAGACGGTACCTCATTGTGGCTTTGATTTGCATCTCTCTCTTAATGTCAGTGATTTTAAGCATTTCTTCATGTGTCTGTTTGCCATTCAAATATCTTTCTCTGTAAAAATTCTTTCCATGCCTATTTTGTAAATGGGTTATTAGTGATTGATTCAGTGACACACCTACTGGGAGTAGGTCTGTCAGAGACAATATAATTAGCACATAAGGTCGCTATGAGTCACAGGCGACTCGACAGCACATAACGACAACAACAACAAGAAGAAGTTATTCCAAGTAGTGGAACAGCTGGGTCATGTGGAATTTCTATGTTCAGCTTTTTGAGGAAGCGCCAAACTGCCTTCCAGAATGGTTGTAGCATTTTACAATTCCACCAACAACGTATAATTCCTATCTCAACACATCCTCTCCAACATTTATTACTTGCTGTCTTGTTAAACTTTGCCACTGTTTGTTCCCATTCCAAAGAAGGGTGACCCAATAGAACGTGGAAACTTTAGAACAGTATCATTGATTTCACATGCAAGAAGATTCTACTGAAGATTATCCAAAAACGACTGGAACAGCACATCAGCAGAGAACTGCCAGAAGTCCAGGCTGGGTTTAGAAGGAGTCGTGGTA